TATTTTGTTATTGAACCTAAATTAAATTATAATAAAAAAATTAAATTAAAAAATTACACAAAAAATAGAAATTTTAAATAGTTAATTTCATACTAATATCAATATATTTTTGTCAGAATTTTATGACACCCTCAAATTTATATTTTATTCAAAAAAAAAATCATCGTTTTTTCAAAATCACATAAAACCATATTATAACAACGACTGAGATAAAGAATAAAATAAAATATTAAAATCAAGATGTATTTTATTGTATTGTGCATGTACCTTTCTAATAATTATTAAATAGTCACGTATTGTTGTCAGTTAAACTAACTCATAATAACATTGATATTTGTATCTTCCCCTCGAAGCTATTTGTATCTTTCACTCGAAGCTATTTGTATCTTCCACTAGAAGCCATTACATGGCTTCATTCCATGCCTCCCACTCCGTACACATCAAATTTATTGAAATTAACCATAAAAATAAGGGTAAATTGCATGAAAAAGTAAAGTATTTTAACTTGATTCTTATTTTGGGTAACGTACTTTCAAAACTTCCATTTTGGTAAGTAAGATGTAAAGTTTTAAACATTTAAGTACCCGAGTAACCCAGTGAAGACTAATTTTAGACTAAAAAAAGACTAATTTTAGATTAAAAAAAATTCACGTCACTGACTAGGTCAACAAATAATACCGAGTTAGATACCACATCACTCGCCACATCAGTATAATAACCGGTTAATACTTCAACCAGTTACCCGAGTACTTAAATGTTTAAAAATTTACATCTTAGGTATCAAAATAGAAGTTTTGAAAGTACGTTACCCAAAATAGGAATCAAGTTAAAGTACGTTACTTTTTCATGCAATTTGCCCTAAAAATAATATCTTATTGGTTTGAGCTTGAACTCTAAAGATCAAAGCTACTTAAAGGTCTTAGATTCGAATCGAAGTAGAAATAAAAATCCTCTTATGGCCATGAAAGTACAAATACGGTGACTCTGGGCTACCCATAAAACATGTGATCGTTCTGGAATTAGTCGACTAATATATCGGGTTGGATATCCAGGTTAATTTAAAAAAAAACGTATTGAAATTTTTATTTCYCATTTTACCCTCAAATACACACCCTTTGTTTAACTCTTAATGRTTCCATTAAGAGGCAACATCTGAATCGTTAAGAGATGAATCTTCTTTGGGAAAAAAAATTGTCTCTTAATTGTTCCAAAACCTTGATTTTGTATTTTGGATCTCCCTTAAACCGTTAAGAGCTCTAATTTCATTGTACACAATTACCATCCAATTATATTTTATTTTGCATTATATAATGARAAACTCTTAATCATTCTAACCACTTAATCTTTCGACATCAAATCAAACACCCCTCCRCTAAATCCCAATGGTAATTTAGTAATATTCCAATTGTCTTTTCCCATTGACAATCATTCAAGTCGAYTTTTCATTCACATTTCACAGTCTCCACGTCGCCATCACTTTCCACTTCTCTCTCTAGTTTTCTAGTGAGAGAAAACAATGGAGGAAATTGCAGGAAGGTATGAACACCATTTTTTCATGAATAGAAGCATACAACTAATCCAGAAAGAGATTTGGGTGAAGCATTACTCGTCCAATCATCAGATTCTGCTGGTTGGAGAAGGCGATTTCTCGTTTGCTCTCAGTTTGGCTKATTCCTTTCGATCAGGTTTCAACATCGTAGCTTCTTCTATCGATTCTCAGGGTAATCAATCGATCCTTATTCTGTTAAATCGCAATTTCGAAACCATAGCTAGCTAGGGTTTCGTTAATCAGCTTCGTACATTCCATCGTGTTCGTTGATTGCTAATAGTTTCTAGTTTGTATGAAGGTCTGTTTAGTTATGGCGTTCATTGAATATAATTTTGACTTRTTTTTGYTGTTTTTGTACCTTTCTGCATTCGATCATGATGAAGCTGCATTGAAAAACGATCGGGAGGGAATGTAAATTATAAATAATTTTAAAAATAATTAAATATTATTACAAAATTAATGTGTTTAATGAACATGTTTGATTAAATATCATTACAAAATTAAMATATTTTAATAGATAAATTGCATGAAAAAATAACGTGCTTTGACTTGATTTATATTTTGGGTAACGTATTTCTAAAACTTTCATTTTGGTACATAAGGTATAAAGTTTTAAACKTTTAAGTACCTGAGCAACGGGTTGAAACATTAACCGGTTACCAAGCTGATGTGCCTAGGGATGTGGTATCYAAGTCAATATTATTTTCTATTCAACCCAATTTCATCCCATAACTCGTCGTATCATCATGATAACTGGTTAATGCTTCAACCGGATACTTAAATGTTTGAAACTTTACATCTTAKGTATCAAAATGGAAATTTTGAAAATACATTACTCAAAATAGGAATTAAGTTAAAGTACGATACTTTTTCATGYAATTTGCCCTATTTTAAAACATTTTTACAAACAAATTCCATGAAATATTTGGATTTGTAAATCCAATCTTAATGTGATTTTATTGATATATCGGGATTTCAAGATCTTGTTTGGTTTGATTGAATCGGATTTAGAATTAAATTCCATCACAATCCTTTGGTTTAAATGATACCTGTGAATTTTAAAATCCTATGGGTAATAAAAAGGTAATTTAACTATTTTTGTAATTATTTATACATTTCCTACAAAATCAAAACACCAAAGATTCCGATTCCAAATCCTTCTCAAATCTTAGAAACCAACTTTGCCCTTAGATCATGAAATATATTGGGTTTATCATGAATTTGATAATAAGATTGGTGGTAGGTCAGGGGTTCAATCCTCACCAAAGATGGAGAGGGTGTATGAGTTTATTTGTTGCATCTGTCGTACATTCTTCATTTAAATGCATAATGAATTGTATCGATAATTTCATTTTGCTAGATGTTGTGATTCAAAAATACAAGAGTGCGAAAACAAACTTGGATCGATTGAATAATTTGGGAGCTCGGCTCTTATTCGGAGTTGATGCATGCACGATGGAGATTCATAGTGATCTTCATCTGCGAAAGTTTGATCGCATTGTGTACAATTTCCCGCATGCCGGTTTTTTTGGAAACGAAAGCGATGACGGAGTTATCATGTAAGCTTATTTTTACATGCATCCATACTAATTTGCTTCTCAAAACTATCATATTTGGTCTTCTCTTGCAAACAATCTATTGTTCTTGTGAAGATTTAGGGGGTATTTGGGATTGTTTATAAAAACAACTTATTGACTTATTCCGGTATGGCACCGGTAATAAGCATTTTTGAGTGTTTGGATAAACAGCTTATACCGGTGCCAAACCGGTAATAAAGAGTTTTTGAAAAAGTTAAACCATTTTCTCAAAACTTCTGTCGCTCAATCCCCGCAGGGGAAGATAACCCGTTCTAACTTATAAAATAAATCGATAAGAACTTTTATAGAAAAACATAAGTTGTTTCAAATAAGCAATTCCAAACACCCTCTTAAAAGAAATATATAGATTTCTTAGGGTGCTTTTGGTAATGCAAACATGACTCACAATGGCAAATTGGGGGGTTCTAGTGGAAGCACGTGCAACCACAAAAGTTTTTCGGCTTAGTTCACTTTTTTATACGATCTTTAATCATTACAACAAAATTTACTTTATATAGGACAGCTAGATTGTCTAAACATCTAGTAGAATAGTTTATAGAACTTAGGTTTATATGATCAAACAATAAAGCGTCATATCTAAAAGAGTTACAATAGGTTTATAAGATATTTTTAGGCGTTTTAACAAGTTTTTTAGGACGTTTTTAAAATAAAGTGTCTTGTTAGCTATTTTGTAGGAGACTTTTGAGAAAATGTCATATAAACCCATCTTTTTATAAGACATCTTTTCAAACAGTGTCGTATAAAATAGTCAGTAAGATAATTTATTTTAAAAAACGTCCTAAAAAACTTGTTAAAACGGCTAAAAACATCCTATAAACCTATTGTAACACTTTTAAGACTTTTTGGCTTTAAATTTTAATGTCTTCATTCTGTCTTCAACTTGTAGGATCCATAGAAATCTGGTTTGCAGTTTCTTCAAGAATGCAAGTCAAATGTTGCGACCAAACGGCGAAGTCCACGTATCCCACAAGACTAAATTCCCTTACGACTGTTGGAATATCGTAGAACTCGCCTCCCAAAGTTGTTTGACATTGCTCGAATGTGTCGAATTCAAGCGCGAAGATTATCCGGGATACAACAACAAAAGAGGAGACGGGGTGAGATCCGACAAGCCCTTCCGATTAGGAGAATGTTGTACTTACAAATTCATATCGTCATCAACCGCCACCATGTTAACCGCTTTATATCATGGAAATCATCAAGAAGTTCCGTTGCAGGGAGCAAATACGAGTTTGTTTACGGATCCTGCACGGGATATCGACAGCACGGAATGCTTTAGGATTTTCGTGGAGTATTTCGATCATGCACGATTGACATACGGAAAAAACGATTGCTATCTATCGAGTTCTGTGAGGGATCATCTGAGATGCGGGTTTCAAAGATATATGGCCGAAGATCATCGAAGACAGTCGATTGACTTCGTTAAACTTTTGGAAGAGCTTTGGAGTTTGAGTAAACGGAGGATCGAGTTCTTTGAAAAACAGTTACTGGAACTCGATCTCCAGGGTGGTTTGTAGAAAAAAGGGTTTGCAGCTTCTTGTGTTGGCATCATGGGGAGTTGGCTTGTCTTGTAAAACCGTAAGTTCAGGTATGTATAAAACGAATAATATCTGGTACGTTGGATCTGTGATGTTACAACTATGTAAAAAGTAATTTATGGCTTTTGTGGCTTTTTTTTTGGAACAAAAATGGTGAAGATTTCTAAGGTTAACAACCCATGAGTCTTTACTTTCTACCATAATTTTCGTATAACTAAGGGTGTGGTTGGTGTCCAGAACAGCTGTTCAGTATTTGGTAAGACATAATTTGACAAAACAGAACAAGTAAAATAATCGATTTACACTGAATGAGTTGTTTATATGTTCTAATTAATTTATGTAATTTATTAAATTATAATAAAATAATTGTTTTTTATAACGAAATATATCATTA